TGTTTTTATTGATATGATTCACATACATTGGGCTGCACATTACAGTCCTAAGGGATACGGTTTCTATAGGGCTATGCACAAAATAGAGAATTGGCTTTATATTAAGGGACCTTGAAACTCGAGTATGGATATACCTAACCACAATGTGAAACCAAAGAGTTTCGTGTCGGGGTCAACGGTACGCATACTGCATGGGCCACCACCCAAAAGGATTAGGGATGGTTTGCGGTAATAGGGAGGACGCTTGGCTGTCCGTCGACATAATCAAAGAGACCTTCCGATCAGCGCTACTCTGCTATCCAGACTCGGAAGTTTGAACAGAGAGGGAGAAGAAATTCATTTGAAATTCATTTTTTATGCAATGGAGAAAAAGATTCTCAATCGTGCAAAATAAATCAACAAATTTAAATGTTTTAATCCCATTTGTCAATTAAGTTAAAATTCTCCTCATTCCGTATTCTTAAAGAAAGAATATTGGATTCATGTTAAGGTACCCTGCAAAACAAAGCATATTAAAATAATGTCCTAAAAGAGGGCAGGTTAGTCTATGCAGCAATTGTAGTCCACTTATGCAAAAAGATTACATGAATTATCCCCAGCAGAGTCGCCAAACTGTGAACCCCTCCCCAAACATCGGCACATGATGCATATGGTAAAGGACAGAAATGCATGTGAGTGTGTGAGTCGCCACCTTGTTTAATTATTTTAGGGTAAACTAGGAAAAAACCCTAAGTTGACTCCGATTTTAATTAACCATATTATTAGATTAATTATCCCAATGTCTAAGGCATGGTGTGCAAACCCAAGGTGGATCCTGAGACCATGTCATGTTGATGAACTAACCAAAGAATGCATGCTTTACAAGGTGATTGATGTAATTTGGACCAAATGAAATGTTTATGTGATTTTGACTTGCCGCTTGGGGTTAAATCCCTAACGTGCCTACGTACTTCCGTTTGATGGAAGATCAAAGTCGGCGTAGTTCGATAGGCCTTTTTAAAAGGGCTTTTGAATGGGTAGCTTATAAACGATTAGGCATTTTGCCTGAAAATTGATTGTTTTAGGCATTTGTTGCCAAAAATGTTGATTTAAGGCTTTTAGCCAAAAAGAATGATTTAGGCAATTAGTTGCCGAAAAATTGATTGATTGGGCGTTTGTCGCCGAAAATGCTTGATTTTAAGGCTTTTTTATTGCCAAAAATTGATGTTTGGGCTTATTATCGCCAAAAATTGATTGATTTGAGGCAATTTATTTGCCAAAAGTAATTATTTGAAGGCTTTTAGCTAAAATTTTGATTTTAAGCGATTTGTCGCTAAAAAGGATTAATCTACTTGTAGGCAATCTGTTTGCCAAAAGTGATTAATCGATTTGCAAAGTAGGCAATTTATTGCCAAGAAAAAAAAACGTGTTTAATGAAGGCTATTAGCCACCAAAATGTGATTGATTAAGGCTTTCTAGTCACAACCATTAATTAATTGGACTTAGGCCGGACTTATTCGAAATAAAGGCAATTATACCATAGCCATTAATTAACTAGGTATTTTAAGCCATTTACTGTCGGATTTAGGCTTAAATGCCACGATTATTGATTAACGGGGCATTAGCCTAAATTTATTTAATTGAGGCAGTTTATTTGCCTAATGATGACATGGATGCATTTATGCAGTTGTAGAATTAGGAGGTTAGAGTAGAAGAGAAAATACTGCATGATAGTGCTAAAATTAAATGAGTAGAGTTTTGTTTATTTACTGATTTATACGGGCCAATTTCTTAACTCCAGGTTAAGCTCCTCGTTAAGGGAATATTAATTAATTTAAATTTAGGACGCAATTAACAAAGCAAAGCGAAAGAAATAAAGCTAAATTAAAAAATGCAGAAAGCAGTAAAGAATGCAAGGAGCGTAAGGGGAGAAGGAGCGTCCGTCAAACGAACATGACTGAGTGCCTTGAAAAGGAAGACAATCCGGGGCCATATTTATACGGCAAAAAACGGACTGTTGGCGCGGCCCTGGGCCGCGAGGTAGGGGCTCGGTGGCCTAGCCCGCTGGGCTCGGCGGCCTGGCCGCTGGCGGCTCGACAGCCTGGCCGCTGGGTCTCTCGGCGGCCCGGGCCGTGGTTTTGCTGATTTTTTTCATTCCGGAGGTTTTTTTACCAGGGAGTATCCGGGACCTCCAAAAAATATTCCCGGGACCATTTCATCCGTGATCCTCGGTAATTTTCCGGACGTTTCAAGTACCATATTGGCAATACTTTCGGTGAACTTTCGAATGGCCTCCCGGCCCAGGCCGGGACTTTTGCAGTCCGGGACTGGCTCTTCTTGAGCTTCCAAAGTTTGGGTATTCACATACAGTCTAACACAATTGTTTGCAGTCCGGGAAAACTGGCTCTTTGAGCTTCAAAATTTGGGTATTCACACAGTCTAACACAAATTGTTGCTCATAGCCACAAAACTAAACATAGAGCATAAGCTAGCTAACAGAATCATATTCTCTAATCTCACAATCCTCTAAAATAGTTTTAGAGTTTTTTGATTTTCCATTCACGTGGATACTACTAGAGGTTGGACATTGGATGGCTTGTGGTTTGTGACAACTTAGCTGCGTAGATCGAAGTTTCGAAGAATCTACAAAAGATGTATTCTTCTAAACAATTTTATTGCTTTAATCGTTTAAACGAATCCCTTTTGGAATAATTATTTTGTTATAATTATCTCTCCACTGCGTAATTTTGATATTGAAACCCAACACTTCTCACGTCTGCGAATCCTCTTTAGCTCTTCTTCCATCTTCTTTTTGTTCTTTAATAGCCCAGGTATAATCTTCTTAGATCATATGCGTATTGCAGAATCAACCCATTTAAAATTTAGGGTTTCTGCAAAATGGTTATCCAAATGAGATGAAATTGGAGTAAACCAGGAAGAGAGGAACTTACCAATTGAGTTTCGCATGCAATAAAATGCCTTCCAAGATTCCACTCCATCCATAAAGTCCTAACTGGACATTGCATTCCACACCTATAGTACCAAAATTCTATGTGCTTCATTCTCAATTTTTACCAAACTCAGAGCAATAATTTGATCAAACGGGAAAGGAGGAAGAAGCAAATAAAAGCACACATTTGGTCGTTGCATTGTTATAATTATCTCTTTCTGCCGCGTAATTTTGATATTGAAACCCAAAGCTTCTCACGTTTGTGAATCCTCTTTAGCTCTTCTTCCATCTCCTTTTTGTTCTTCAATAGCCCAAGTATAATCCTCTTAGATCGTATGCACATTACAGAATCAATCCATTCAAAGAAGTCACACCCATAATTTCTATCAGCCTTAAAAAAAGAAGAAAAAAATTTAGGATTTCTGCAAAATGGTTATCCATATGAGATGAAATTGGAGTAAATCAGGAAGAGAGGAACTTACCAATTGAGTTTCGCATGCAATAAAATGCCTTCCTAAATTCCACTCCGTCTATGAATTCCTAACTGGACATTGCGTTCCACACCTATAGTACCACAAGTCCATGTGATTCATTCTCAATTTTTTCCAAACTCATAGAAATAATTTGATCAAACGGGAAAGGAGGAAGAGGCAATTAAAAGCACACATTAGGTGGTTGCATTGTTATAATTATCTCTTTCCGCTGTGTAATTTTGATATTGAAACCCAACACTTCTCACGTTTGCGAATCCTCTTTATCTCATCTTCCATCTCCTTTTTGTTCTTCAATAGCCCAGATATAATCCTCTTAGATCGTATGCACATTGTAGAATCAACCCATTCAAAGAAGTCACATCCATAATTTCTATTAGCCTTAAAAAAAGAAGAAGAAAATTTAGGATTTCTGCAAAACGGTTATCCATATGAGATGAAATTCGAGTAAACTAGGAAGAGAGGAACTTACCAATTGAGTTTCACATGCAACAAAACATCTTCCAAAATTTCACTCCGTCCATAAATTCCTAACTGGACATTGCATTCCATACCTATAGTACCATAGTTCCATGTGCTTCATTCTCAATTTTTTCCAAACTCATAGAAATAATTTAACCAAATGGGAAAGGAGGAAGAAGCAAATAAAAGCACACATTAGGTGGTTGCATTGTTATAATTATCTCTTTCTGCTGCGTAATTTTGATATTGAGACCCAAACGTTTGCGAATTCTCTTTAGCTCTTCTTCCATCTCCTTTTTATTCTTCAATAGCCTAGGTGTAATCCTCTTAGATCTCACGCACATTGTAGAATCAACTCATTCAAAGAAGTCACATCCATAATTTCCATCAGCCTTAAAAAAAGAAGAAGAAAATTTTGGGTTTCTGCAAAATGGTTATCCATATGAGATTGAATTGGAATAAACCAGGAATAGAGGAACTTACTAATTGAATTTCGCATGCAACAAAACCCCTTCCAAGATTCTACTCCATCCATAAAGTTCTAACCGGACATTGCAATCCACACCTATAGTACCAAAATTCCATGTGCTTCATTCTTAATTTTTTCCAAACTCAGAGCAATAATTTGATCAAACGGGAAAAGAGGAAGAAGCAAATAAAAGCACACATTTGGTGGTTGCATTAAATGAGGGGCACAAGGGGAGAGTTAAGTTTTATTACACGTGGATCCTACGTTTCATGAGGATGTGTTAAAAAAATTGACCATGTTAGCGCCAAAGCATTATAAATGGGACCCACAAATGTCAACATGTGATGCTGGCAATCCAATTTCGATTGAAACACTTAATTAAAAAATTTAAAGAGTTTAAACACACTTGATTAATAGTGTTCTTTGTTCAGACATTAAAAAAAATCGAAAATTTAAACACTAAAATTAATATTATCCCTTTCATATTTAATTAATTTTTTAATAAATTATATAGACCAATCTCAACTATGATTTTAATAAATGTTCATACAATAGTTTTTATATTTTAATTTACATTTTACGCTTTATCCCGTTGAACAAGCTGGGAGGCGAAAACGACCTTATTCCCTCCTAATAATATTACTAATTTTCCGCGACAAAGTTCAATAGGGTCGCTAGATTTCAGACGCGTATACATACCAATAGTATACTTTTCGCTGTTTTGGTCGGTGAGTTAGACTTTAGCCCGTGATTTACTCTCAGACTTTTGCCTCTCCGACAGCTTCAAATTTCCGACATCAACGTTCTGTTCTACCCACATGTCGCTCTCTTTCCTTCTTCCTCCCTTTTTTGTTTTTTTTTTTTAAATACTGTGCAAAATATCGAACTCTTAAAATATCTGAGTCTGGGTTATTCCGGTTTAATCAGTTTGAGCAAGTACTTACTGAGAGTGAGAGAGTTATGCTGTTTAGTCGTGAGATTTTGAATTTCTTGGTAAGGAAAGATGTGAAGAAGATACTTAAACGCAAAGACAGTGATGCTGGGGAAAGAGGTATTTGTAACTCATCCTCCATTTTCCTAAATTGTTTTTCCCCTTTTCAATGTATATTCCCTTTCCTTGTTCTTTCTCCCATTTCACTTGCTACTGTTACCGTCTTTTTCGGGGATTTGGTCTTGGAGTGTACTTATGTGCTTTAATGTCACTAACTGGTCTCCATTTTAGGGAGAGCATTGGAAGAATTGCGGTCTTCTTTGTTGAACAAATTTCGCTTGTCTGAAAATCCAAAGAGACATGAGCAACGTCTATGCCATCCTGTTGTTGCTCTTACATTCAATTTCTTTGTTGCTATCAGCATTATTTTCATGAATAAATGGGTAATTTATATATTTATTTTTGGATGCCTACAAAAATTATTTGTTTCCTTTCAAATGCTTAAGAGTTAATATCTTTTGCGTTTTTGTTTACTTAAGGTGCTTCAAGGAATTGGGTTTCATTTCCCTATATGCCTAAGTTTTATTCACTATTCAATAAGTTGGGCACTGATGGCCATTCTGAAAGCCTTTTCTGTTCTTCCTGCATCTCCTCCTTCAAAATCATCTCTTTTATCCTTGTTTACTCTTGGCTTCGTTATGTCTCTGTCTACTGGCCTAGCTAATGTCAGCTTAAAGTACAACAGGTTAGACATGTTATTCCTATTTTTCTTTGATTATGTATTAGCCATTGCAATTTTGTATTTAATGTTTTTTTTTTTTTTTCTCAGCGTGGGTTTCTATCAGATGGCTAAGATTGCTGTTACACCCTCCATTGTTTTACTGGAATTTATATGGTTCAATAAACGGGTGTCTTTTTTGAAGGTAAGTTTTAGCTACATTTTTCCTTAATCCAAATACAAATCAGAATACCTTTGAGAAAAAGAAAAAAAAAAAAATACACATCAGAATATTGTATTGTCATACAACTACTTTTCAAATGTTCAATTTCAACTATATGATTGAGTCAAGGAATGTAGCACTTTTGTCAATCAAATGGTAAACTGGTGAGTGGCTTTTTTGCCATTTGGATAATTGTAAACTGTTCTATGTTTGCCTTTGTGTTTTATCTGCACGGTAAAGGATCTCTGTTTAAGTGGTGGTCATGTTTGAGTTGTTTGAGAATGCTGGAAGCAAGTTGTGTATTTTAAGTATGGGTTATTGCTTCTTGCTACCAAGTTATCCATTGAAGTTCGTCATATTCTTATTTGTTTAATGGTTTACCTTGAAGATTTTGATTATTTCCCAGTGTTGATCCTTCACTAAACTACATCTGAGATATTGGGTTGGGTGTGTAAACTCGTTGGATGTCAATAGATTCTTTCTTGCACATGACTTAGAGTGATGAGATTTACTTTGTACATAGAGTATCTATCATTTGCATATTAACTTCTACTGAGACTTTCCTTTGGGATCTCTGCTATGAAATCTTTCAGGTGATTTCACTTACAGTTGTTTCTATTGGTGTTGCTGTGGCTACAGTAACTGATTTGCAATTCAGCCTTTTTGGTGCTTGTGTAGCATTGGCGTGGATAGTTCCTAGTGCTGTCAACAAGATCCTCTGGTCCACTTTGCAACAGCGAGAGAACTGGACAGCATTGGCGTATGTGACATAATATATCTAACTATTCATCCTTTCTTTCTTGAATTGGATTCAACTCTTCTTCCTGTTACTAGATTATATCTAACTTGAGCTCTGAATTCCTTGAACAGATTAATGTGGAAAACGACTCCAATCACTTTGTTTTTTTTGGCTTCTCTGATTCCTTTCTTGGATCCCCCAGGTGTCCTCTCCTATCATTGGAATGCTAATAATGCATTGTTGATCATTGTGTCCGCTTTTCTAGGCTTCTTGCTTCAGTGGTCAGGTGCTTTGGCCCTCGGGTGAGCAACTTCTCTTCATTTATTTCAACCTTTGATTTGCTCAACAAAATTAGTTTACTTTCGTGTTTTTATGAAATTGAGAGGTTAAACAACATAGGGAATGAATGACTTAAAGAATGATGAACCTGATCGTTACTTGCATTCTAGTTTCTTTCAAGTTGGCCAATGTAGACGGAGAGTGATCATAACAATTAATTGCCACAGTCGTCTCCTAGGCTACTGTAGTTGATCAAAGGTGTTTGAATGTGTAAATGCTTACCAGAAAAACCAAGGGGGAATATGTGATAATTATTATCAAAAGTAAATTACTTAGTTGAAAGTATATTTGTTTTTAAAGAAGGACCAACAAGTGTATTAGGCATTAGAGAAGAACAAGAAGAATAAGTAACACTATTTGTTTCAGATAAACCAATATGAGGCTAAATAACTTTTAGTGCTGGAGGAAGGAATGAAAGAACTAATATACTTGAATTACGAGTCATGTTCGAAGTAGTATCATGAATCTAGGAGGTAGGGCGGTGCTTGCAAAGTGGAGAAGGACCTGAAACTGTTGGTGGCAACATAGACTTGATGGACTTTGATTAAACAAACAAAGGAATATACCCAAAGCACCCTGTTGATGTCTAATGCAGTAGCTTAAACATGACTTAGGACTGGGAACCAATAGTACCAAGCTACTAGATTGAAAATTTGAAGTGAAAGTTATTGCTATACATATGGGAAGAAAGAAGGAAAAGTGATCTGATAACAAGAAGAATATAGTTATTGAACATTCTGCAACAACAGTCGTGGTCTTGCCTCTATTCAAAAAATTACAAAGAAACGATATTGAGAAATTCAACCTCTACCGTGACTCAAAAAGTTAATAATAGAAGTAAAAAATGAAGTGTTTAGCAATGTGAAGTTCATGAGGATACAAGTGGTTTTTGATAAATGATACTGACTACCACTCAAATATTCAGGTGCTAAGCCAAGAAAAATTTGGAGAATTAGGTTTTTTTTTAGTTAATGGATAACCTACCGAACCAAGAGAATCAACGGGTTCTTTTGCAAATTTTGAATGTAAAACGATGCATAATTGATCTTTTGAGTGTTACAAATTCTTATTTGAATGATCTTGAAAAGTTGCTTAATAGCAAGCAGTACTTTCTTCTTCTAATTATTGAATTTGGTTTCACGAAAGACTGGAGAATATTTGGAGAGACTCTAGCTTGAATCCATCACAAGATGAGCAAGTCAATGATTTGATTATTGAGTACCATCAGCCAATACAATAACCTGGAAGCACAACAGTTGTTAGCATATATAGGTTAAGAATGTCTTAACCATAAACAAGCATGAAAAAGATTTCCATAAGATGTGGTTGGAAAAATAAGAGATTCACTCACAGTTTCCAATATTGTCATGGAGAACGTGCGCATGAGTAAAGGAGAAAAAACAGTGTTGTTACATGCATGATTTGGGAATAGAAGTAGAAGATTGTGCTGCAGTTATTAGAGAAGGTAGGCCATCCGTAAAGGAAAAAAGAGATCAAAATAGAACAAAAAAGAAATGCCTAATGGGCAAGTTTACTCCACGCTTACTTGTTTGCAATTCTACTTTCCACCCCACATATGGAAAACCTTTTGTTCCCACCATTTCAAGGGATGGCTTCAAGGTTAACTTTTTATCATTATTATTATTATTATTATTTTAATTTAAAAGTCAGTTCACTATTGAACTCACGGTTGAAAATCATGCTTTTCATTAATGAAATACTGACAATTATCAACATATCATAAAACTTGGTTTAACTTGGTAAGTTAATTCCATGTCACTTGGTTACATGTACTGCTGATGAGGCCGTAGTCTGGAAAATTTATGATTGAAGCCTGTGCGGGAGCAAATTATTTTTGCAATAAAATTCCTTAGATGCATAGACTAAAGGGATACTCACTATACAAGGTGGCCCACATTTGAGGGCTTTTGGGAGGGTTGATGTATGCAGCCTTCAAAATAATAATAATTGTAGGAAATGTAACTCACTGTTGTTTGAGGCTCAAGTAAAGTGGTTTGAAGCTTGAGGCACAAAGCTAGGTGTGTGCCTAGTGAAGATTAGAGTTATGTTAAGTAAAATTGAGAAAAAAAATTTTCCTAGTTGAATAGTAAGGTATGTAATAGATCCTAATCACATATTCACATGCATGTAGTGGCTTGGATAAAAGGGAGAAAAACTTCATAAATCGAGAATCATGGTTGACTGAAACATGAGAAAGAAAAACCGAAAGAAAGTGATTGTTGATGGAGAAAAAGGAAAAATACAAAGAATTTAAGGGAGAGACTTGAAGAAAAAGAATTTGAGAAAACAAAAGGAGAAAATTTTGTTACAAGATGAACACGAAAAGATATCATGGGTGGAAGAGAAATATCATTGGAAAAGTAAGAAAGCAAAGAGAATAGGCTTCAGAGATATTTTTAATGCAGACAAAAAATAAATGAAAGATGTCTATTTGATCCCTCTATTATAGTGAAATACAATACTAAGGATTTCTGTTTTCAAAGCTAATTTATAATCCTTTTATTCTCACTCTATTAATCTGTTTAATTCTTCTGTTATTTTAATTATTAAAACTGAATACATTTTCCATTTTACCTTTAATATGGGACTTAACTGTTAGACAAAATTAAATTGTGGGTTAATTATTATTTAATCCCTCTATTAGTTTCTGAAAATAGAGGCCTTTGCTAGTGTATTTCATTATTATAATTAACCCTTAAAAAATGTCACACATGCCTAAGCCCAAGGCTGGTCTTGAGGGCTGTGGCACTCTTGCGGAGATTGTGCCTCATCTAGGAATAGGCCAGGCAAAATACCTATGCCTCGAGGTACCTTGCACCTGGGTGCAACTTTAACATCATTGGACTGACTAGTATATGTAAATACATCAAATAAGGCATTGAGTGCATTATTATTTATGTTCAATTTTTTTTTTTTTTTTTTATACATGGACTTTTTCTAAAGGCAAGGGCTACTAGCCCAACATATTCACTATTGTTAGTCAACTTTAAATAGAACAATAAGCAAGAGATAAAGATCTAACTTTATGACTAAATATAGTATAGTGTGGAGTCTCTAGTGTGAGGTACATCCAGTATAAAAGTTAGTTGCTTACATTCTGCAGTTATAATGGCTGATTTATCTAACTATGTATGCACTTCTGGAAATATTCTATCTGGAATAATTTCCACAATCTTCCAGTGAATAGTGATGTGGTAATTTCATGGTATTGGAAAGGTAATGAATGCATCCCATGGTTTGCTTGAGTTTCCGTCGTTGAAATAGTCTTCGGTGAATGTTTTAGCAGAAGATATTATTTCTCGGATTACTTTTGAGGGATCAATAATTGGTTGTCTATGGAAGATTATCTTAACTTTTTCTTGTGACCTGGGATTTTAATCAGCCATCTTCTATAAAACCTCTCTGTGACTACATCTGATTCTGAAGTCCTTAAGAAATCTGATGCCTGTATTGTAGGAAGGAACACACACACATCTACATGCCTAGGGAAGTGTACATTTGTTAGAGAAGATTGTTATCATTAAAATTATAGAAAATCCATCGCTAGTAAAGGTATTCAGATCATTTTCCTTAGCTTACTCAATATAATCATGCTACTTTCTGGTGTGTTTTCACACATTATCAATATCTGGTGTGTATGAGACGAGATGACCATGTGAAGTTTATGCATGGGATGCAATTTTATACTTAAGCTATTATCATTTAGGTGCCTTGTTTTATAACTTGACAGGAAGTAATGACATTCAAAAAGCATTAGACTTGAAAATGTAATGTTGGTGGTATAAATTTGGTCAACCTTGAGTCTCATGTTTCTAAATTATTATGTTCCTTCAATTTTCAGGGCAACGTCTGCCATTTCACACGTTGTTCTCGGGCAATTCAAAACATGTGTTGTGCTTCTTGGAAATTATTATGTCTTCGGCGCCAATCCAGGACCGACCAGCATTTTTGGTGCATTCACAGCTATTGCTGGTATGTCTGCTTACACATACCTGAACTTAAGCAGTGCGAAATCACAAGCCGGAAAAACATCGCCGCATAAATCATCTGCAACAAAGTCTAGGTTTAGTAGAGAAAATGGAGATAGCCATGATGGATATGGTGGGGAATCTGTGTAGGTAACATTGTTAACAATTTTTTTTGGTTGGTCCTTATTTTTTTTATTTATTTTTGGCATGCAATGGATCTCTAATTTTATGAGTAGGGGCAGTTTCTAGTTTGATTTCCATAGAGCTCTTTTAGAGTATCCACATACCATGAATCTGAAGCAAACCCGATATTGATTTTGTGTAATATAGATACTGAACTTCTGACAGAGGCATGGTGGTGAATGAGTCACATTTGTATATATTGATGAGTGTAGGTGAGGCAATAGAAATGCTATATTTGATGATTTCTGTTTTTGCTGTATGTGTCATTTTGTATATGCTAGTTTCTTTCATGGACCAAAAATATTATTTTTCCTCGCTTAAAAAAAAAAAGTTGTAGACTTGTGTTATCCTTTATTTGTCGAGGGACTTTTTAAAAAAAAGAAAAAAGTATTATTTAGGGATCTGAAGGTGAGCATTTGGTTCGAAACATATTCAATTGAACCGAATTTTTTATGTAAAATTTTGTCGAATTGAATTTTAATAAAATCAAAATAAACTGAATTGAAATTCTAAAAATAATTAAAAAACCGAACAAAAATAAAGTATTGAATTGGTTCAGTTCAAGTATTTCAGTTTTTTTTATTGAATTGTTTTAAAATTGAATTCTATTAATCAATTAAAATTGAATTGATTTAATTTGGTTTTAATATACGGCTAGTGTACCTATTATGCACCTGCCGGTTGTTACATCTACTTACAAATCTGAATGTCTAGTCAAACTAGAGCATGTTTAAGCGGGTGATTTTGATAAAAATTATGTTCAAAGAATGATTTTTCAATCGGATGCCAAATTAAAACTATTTACCATCTAATACTTGTCTTACTACGGAGAGAGTGTTTCGCTAAAATTACCAATTCAATTAATAATTTTAGTATAATAGAAAAGTTATCTCGTACTGACGTGCAGTCAGCAAAAAATAATTATATGAATAAATAATAAAAATTTAAAATTGTTGAATAACCTTTTCAACAAAACACACAATTCATTTTGTGGTTTTAATGCAAATATGAGATGTGACCATTAGTCAGTAAAAAGTACACGGGAAAATAGTGTTGTGTTAAAAGTCTACTATATTAACTAATAGTTTCAATAAAAAATATCCCCTCCCTCCTATTTTGTTTGTTTGTTATTTCTCTTTTGACTCAAAATGTTTGTAAGGTTTCTAAATTTAAATATGTAAATATTTTTTTTTTTATAATAACTTTTATGATTTGTTCATTAAATGAAAGACTTTAATTAATATTTTAATCAGTTAAGGTAAAAAAGGCATGTAACTTTTATTGACTAAATTTTTAATAGGCGTATTTTGTCAAAACCATGCAAACAAAATGGAGTGAAGAGAGTATTTGTTTAATTTTTTCATCAAAACACGCATCATCTTGTGATTTTGATTCGTAAATATTTTAAGTAATAAAAATATAAGTTTTTTTACACAGTTACAAATTACCAAGAACAATAAAGTGTTTCGAGTTGAACTTGTATTATTTTAAAAATGTTTTAATAACTAATACATGAAAAATTATTTATATTAATGTCTACCCATGTATTCTTTTATACCACATCTTAAAGGTCTCCTATTACGATGCGGGTTTAGGTGTATTGCATCTTCTCTAATGCCTTCATATGCTTCTCCATGCTCAATATTTATATTGACACTCATGCGAGGAACTTTCAAAACAAGGCAACTTGGCAGAATGTACTTTCGGAGCGGCTATTTTGGGATATCTACAGTAGGACTCCATCTCACATCCTACTTTCCATAATCTTGTCCGTTCATGGATGATAATAGGTAATTCTGATCGGCAAAAATTTTTCAAATTCCTGGAATATGGCCCATAAAAAATGTGTCATGCTTTGCTTGGTAACATTCAGGAATAATTCTTAATGTTGTTGAATGATCGTCTCTTACCATACCACATAACACCATTTGGATCTACATACATATCAACTAATAAAATGTCATCTTGTTTAGAAATTGTTTAACGTTGCATGGTTCAAATTATAACTATTGTGAAATATAGCATGTTATAAATAATATAATTTATTTAAACAACATGCATATTTAATATATCACAAATTTAATTTTAGTTGAAAAAACTCCCATAAAATTAGCAAAATCAATATATTGCTAGTAGTATTAATGCAAATTGATTGCACCAAAACCATAAGATGATATGTGTATTTTGGTTAAAAAAATATTTTTAATAAATAAACATTTTTAATTGAAACTATTAGTTAATCTAGTGCGCTCTAAATAAAATATAATTCTCTCGTGTACTTTTTGCTAACTAGTGGTCACATTTCATATTTACACTAAAATCACCGAATAAATTGTGTGTTTTAGTGAAAGGCCATTTGACAATTTAAAATTTTTATTTTATATTTGAAATGAAACCATCATTTGAATTTTCAATATAAAATAGAAATTATTGTTCATTCATATAATTACTTTTTACTGACTGTCTATTAATACGTGTTACGTTTTTCTATTTTGTGATATCTACAATAGGCCTCCATCACACATCTTACTTCCCATAATCTTGTCCATTCATGGATGTCATTATATATTTTTAAAAGACCAAAATTTTTTAAACTCCTTGAATGTGGCCCGTAAAAAATGTGCTCTGCTTTGCTTGGTAACATCCAGGAATAATTCTTAATGTTAGAATGATCATCTCTTACAATACCATATTAACACCATTTGAGTCTACATGCATATCAATTGACAAAATGCCGTCTTGTTTAGGAATTATTGGACATTGTATAGTTCAAATTATAATTTTTTGAAATACAATCTGCTACAAATAATACAATTATTTAAATAACATGCATATTTAATAAATCACAAATTTAATTTTAGTTGAAAAAACTCCCATAAAATTAGCAACACATTCATAAATCATTTAAATTAATATATTAACTAGCAATAATAATGCAAATAGATTGCATCAAAGCCACCAGATGATGTGTATTTTGGTGAAAAAATATTTTGAGTTAATAAATATATTTTTTATTGAAACCATTACTTTACCTAGTGGACTCTTTATAAAACATAATTCTCTCGTGTACTTTTTGCTGACTAATGGTAAAATCTCATGTTTGCATTAAAACCACCAAATGAATTGTGTGTTTTAATGAAAGTTCATTTGACAATTTAAAATTTTTATTTTATATTGAAACCACCAATTCAAAGTAACTTGTACTGACAGACAGTTAGCAAAAAAATAATTATATGAATAGATAATAATAATTATTTTGCACTGAAACCGCTAATTGAGTTGGTAGTTTTCATGCAATACTCTCTATCAATAGTAGAAAAAACATTAGATTGATATATAATTTTTATTTGGCATTAAATTGAGAAATAGTTTTTTGAAGAACATTATTTTTGTCAAAAGCCCTTTAAGTGGCGCTTCTTATGAATAAAAAATCTATAAACTCAAATTCTCTCTCTTTCCAAAGTAATTTCACCTAAATTTTACTCCTTACACAGAATCTAAAATTTTGATTGGAATGCACAATCTAAAATTTTGATGTGAATGCACCAAAGATGATGGTATTTCCATTTGTCAACTAACATCCACCATATCTCACTTGTTCTTTACTAATGACAATATTATTTTTGGGAGAACTTCTAAAACTAAGGTTTAGTCGATTTTGCAAATTATAGCAAGTTATGAGAATGCATTTGGACGAAAAATCAATTTAGAAAATTCAAAAATGTTTTTGGCTCAATGTTCCACTTGTTTTTTAACTTAGCTTGCATAAGATCAAAGCTCAAATTGGAGTCAGCTTCTAACTCCTCAATCAGCTTTACCTTTACCCCATTTTGCAGTTGCATTAAGATTTTTATTCCCTATACGTCTTATAAAAGTGTGTTATGGAGTTTCTATTATAAATGTAACCCTATCAGGTGTTAGGGAGGCATGAAACCTAAAATGGCACTCTTGAGCCATACAAATGACTCTCTTACTATCATTTTTTTTATTATTTTTGTCAAGTATCCTCTTTTGACCACATAATCTCTTAGATCTTCCCTATAACTCTCTACATCTATAAAAGCGTCTTCTTTCTTGAACTCTACTTCACCCTCTTGAGGAACCACAATGACATTTTTATACAAATTCTTGAATGGCTATGTTCTCTTTCTCTTCCTCTTCCTCCTTATAGTTTTTTCATCATTAGGACTATTGTGAATTAGACTGATTATTGCTCCTTCATCATAAGAGTCAGCCTCCTCATTTGCATTTCCAATGTCAGTTTGAGCATTAGCACTTGCATCTTCATCTATTAGACTTTCTTGCTTAGTATCATCTTTACTACCTAATAATGTGTAATCATCACCAAATAACTGACTATCATCAGCAATGTCTTTAGCTGCTGGTGCATTATTCATCACACGCTCAACCCTCTCCCTAAATTTATAGACATGCTCACTTGACATTGCACTTCCTATGCATTTTCTAATCAACTCTGTGTGTTTTGTTTCTCCCATTTAGCAGGCCTTCCTCTCCTTTTTTCCTACCCAATCCCCCCATATACCCTGCATAATTAGACTCTTCTTCTGATAATTGATCCCAAACATGTGCACTTGCTACCATTTTCTGCATTTTGTACCTTGCACTTGAGAAGCATTTTCCTCTTCCTCAACAACATTTTGCCTTCCTTAATAGCATCGTCACCCACATTATCATAACCATTTCCATCACCCTCATGCATACCCTCATCAACATTTACACTCTCATTTTATCCACTCCTTTCCCTCCCCCACCATCAATTCATCAACATTGAAAAACACTTTACCTCCAATACTACTTTCTAACCCTCCAATCACCTCCAAAGAAGCCTTCCTTGCTCTCTAAGGCTAAGTTCCAATGTTATTTGCCACTTGACTTTGATGCTTAGGGGCATGACAACATCCAGCGGACCTTCAACTCTCACCACCCGCAATGGCACAACCGCAGTCTCCTTAAACATCTAAAGTATATATCATCTTCATTCTTTATATGCTGATATCTACTCCAGCCTTAATTTCTGTAAAGGAAGTCCCAATTCCAAATAATTGACATACATTGCAGCATATTCAGATAAGATAGTTTCTTAAGCTCAATACAGTACATAAACTCTTTCTCATCTCCATATCTAACCTTCAATGTATAGTATGAGGAAGAACCATTTAATACACTGAAAATAAAGTGAAGGCAACATTAGAAGATTGTTGTAATCAATCCATTTACTTTCTATATGTGTAAAGCCTAAATATTGAAGTTTTTCACTCTAATGCATATCATAACATAACTCAGCTTCAAAATCATACTCTTTTTTCAATTGTACATGTACAGAAGGGAGAAAAGAACAAGATAACGTACTCAATTGTTTATCTAATGAAAAACCTATCAATTTGATGTTGTTCTACTACCCACTTTCAAATTTAATGTCATAGTGTGCAAGACGGCGAATTTTTCAATAGACATGCTTAAAACAAGAAAAAATTTAAAAATTGAGCCTTTAGATTGAAATTGGGGCACAAAAATGATAAAAAGTTGATAACTTATCATTTCTTTACCTTTCAATGTAGTTTGAGTATGATACTACACTCCATATGCCCGAAATCAGCTACCAATTTACAAAACTCACTAAGTTTACTCAAAATCTTTCAGTGGTGAAATTGAGAGTGCAAAAATTTGGTCTAGTGAACTATCACGTCTCTTACAAGTGACATTTCAGTTTCCCTTCATAAGAATGAAAATAGCACTTCATATTACCTAAGGGTATTTTTGCCTTTTTCTTTTCATTTAATGACAAAACTACTCAAAATGGACGGAAGAACTATTTATATAAATGCAAATATAGAAATGTGCTGGATATGCTGCTAAAAAGCGGTGACTACTTAAATAATTTAGCCAGAAATTAGTCACGAAATAATTAATAATTTTCATATAGTTTATTAAGAAATTGTCATATTTTACCCTTCCTTCTTCGGTGGGTAGTTTAATTTTTTATGTTGATTATTTATAAATGTTTGTCTGTAAATGCCATATGATTTGTCGTTGCGTGCTTTTAAAAATCTAATCAGTTTGGGTCATGGATGACATCAGTGCAATGAGATGCATCTAGTGCACGACATGCAATTAAGAATAATGTGACGTGAAAGCCAAGGAAAAAAAACGAAAATAGAACTCATCTTGGATCCTTGAACTTACCGTACCTCGTTTATAGCACCATCATTAGTCAACTCTCACATGTTGATGACTTCATTTTTCACACTAGAAATTTATTATTAAAAGCTTGCAAAAGTTAAACTAAGTGCACTAATTTTCACACTAGAAATTACTAAAATTGCAAAAAAGGAAAAAAAAAAAACCATTTGTTAATTTGTATAATTTTTTTTTCAAGACTAAATAATTTATTATGAAGTGAAATTTTTTTAACAAATTTCAAAACTAAATAATTTATTAATTATCATTTAGAAAAGACTTAGTTAAAGTGGATATATATATTTAGTATAGTATATTATTTTAAAAACCAAACATTTATTTTCTATTTTATTTATTATTTAAAAGTGATTTCTAATATTAGTACAGAAATATATTAGGTAAAATTTAATATTTAAACAATATTAATTATTTAGTTATCCTGTATAAATGAAAACACACTTATCTTTATTATACTGCAGATAGAACAATAAAGAGTGACATTATTTTTAAAATAATAATTAATTATTTATTGGATGAATGAGTCCCAAGTATTTTCCTTGATATCAACTAATTTATCATGAAAATTTTTATTTCCTAAAACAAATATATAGTTCCCCAAGTATTTTCCTTGATATCAAACTAATTTATCATGAAAATTTTTATTCCTAAACAAATATATATATATATTATATAATTATATAATATATATATATATTAACGTTACGGACTTGAATGTTAAGAACTATATATTAACGTTACGGACTTGAATGTTAAGAACTCAAGATTAACTGTATAAAACGTGATAAGATAAGATCAATGACAGATATATTTTTCAGAAAAAAAATACTGAACTATATTAAAATACCCTTTTATCTCATAATAAATGTACTACTTTCCACTAACTTACCATGTACTTATATATAGTAAATAAAAAATAACATTGAAAAATGAAAATTAAATTAGATGATGATGCATTGATATTTCCAATGGTGGCCAAAAATGGTTGAGGCACATTAATTTTGTCTCTCTGCATGCCTTGTTTTCTTGCAAGTTAAAGCCCCAGAAGCACGTAATATAATATTGTAATCGGCAACGCAATCAACATTCCGAAGATAACCCTGCAATTATATAAAAAATTAATAAAATTAAAACTTAATCGATGTCTTTTGTTCAAGAAGAAATTGTTCTTTCATAGAGATTTAAATGAGAGATGAAAAGATACCCTCAATAATAATAATAATAAAAGAAATGAATAATCTCTTATTGTAATTTTGCATTGGTGCTTTGTTCATTTAATTATAAAGTGAAATTGTATGTGTATGTGAGAAATAAATAATGGATAATGGTGAAATAATAAATTAACTTACGCAGTGCTAAGTATGTCAGCGTGGACATTGTATTCTTTGGCAAATACAAATGGAACGATTCCTTGGGGAAGAGCAGCCTGCCAGTAGATTTAATCAAATATTAATACCAGAAAAGATTGAATTAAAAAAAATAAAATAATATATAGGAAAAATATTTGCTTATACGGATGTATATTCATTTTTCATTCACCTAATTAGTATTCAATTGTTATTTAAAAAGATTATCAATTTTATTACTATTTTTTATTGCATTTCTTTCCCAATTAAAAGATACCCAATTGTGCATATCAAGATATATACTAATAAAAAGTACCTGTATGACTAGACAATAGATTTATATTTAACTCTCCTTCACCGATATTTCAAAAAGAAAAAAAAAACACCTAATATAGAATGACTTAAACTCATTTTATAGACTTATTTATGGAGTAAACTAATAAAAAAATAATTCTTTTTAAAATAAGGGCATTTTTAATAATTCATTGAAAAAGAGATAGAGTAAGAATAGTTTTCAAAAAATTTCTACTGTAATTGCTTTGGCCTATAAATAGACGCATAAACCGAGTAAAAACAAGTTTTATTTTCATAGAATCTTTTTTTTCCATTATGTTCTATTCATAACTATATGCTCCCTAATATCCAAATGTCACTAATTTTTAGTTACAACTTCACTCTAAACAAGTTTTATTTTCATATAATCTTTTTTTTACATTATGTTCTATTCATAACTATATGCTCCCTAATATCCAAATGTCACTAATTTTTAGTTACAACTTCACTCTAAACAAGTTTTATTTTCATATAATCTTTTTTTTACATTATGTTCTATTCATAACTATATGCTCCCTAATATCCAAATGTCACTAATTTTTAGTTACAACTTCACTCTAAACTCTTTTTCGCATGCTCCATTATTAAAGTATTACATTTGTGAACGGAAACATCTAATAATATATGATCATATCATAAGGGTCTTTATCTGTGTGTATATATAAAGTTGATTTCATAGAAAAAACTTACTTAGATCCAGTCAATGTCCCTACCTATGGATCAAACCAATGAAATTTAATATTCTTATCAAAACGATGGCATTTCTAATCATACATTTGAAAAAAAAAAGAATAAAGTCGAAATAATTTTGGAATATCCTGAATTTTATTTGTTTAGTCCATAGATGGGAATATAGATTGGGTCTAGGCAAATTCTTTTCTGATTTCATAGCATACATCCAGGCGGAATTAAGTTTAGGAGGAGGAAGTATGAAAGTTTTTTTAAAAAAAAAGAAAATCACTTAAGGAACAATTATTGTTTAGATTTGAAAGATTATTCTTTTACCTCCTAAAATTTTAAAAATTATAATTCTCGATTCCAAGTTGTAAATTCAACATTTAGACATGCATAGTTAGTCATAATAAAATGAAAATAATATATAATAATTGCAAACCTGGACAATGGCCACATGTAGAAGAGTGCCACGAACACCAATAGCAATGGAGGTTGCAGCAATCACAGCTGGACCGGTCAAAAACCTTACAGCCATAGCAAATGTAGCCACAGATTTTCCACATGCCACAATTTTTGGTTGCAAAGCCATGAACAAACCTGTTTATGCAATTATATATACATTAAACTCAAATTAACCATCATAAAATAAATAAATAATTAATTTTGAAAATAACAATAACAATAATAATAATAATAATAATAATAATAATAATAATACCTAAACTGAACATGGCCATCCCTAGACCTGTATCTGATAATATTGATATAGATCCTTTTACGATTGAAGGCATTTGAATGTTCCACCTGTATGATATGAGAGACCAAATTACACCCAAAAGGCTAGAATATGTGTTTGGGTTTCTTATGAGCTTCCTCCAAACCATGATGAGTATGAGTCTCGTCATCACACTTGCCGGAGGCATTTGCTGTCTTTTTGATCCACCCATTTCCATTTTCTTTACTCCATTAATATTCTCTCTGTCTACCTGATCATCCCTTTCCGAATTCATTTTTGAGGTTGTTGATCCCATGTTTTCAATTAATTCCTGCATGGCTGCCACAAATGGATGAAGCCAGCCATTTAAAATTAGGGGAATTAAGGGGACAAATGGTTAAAGATAATAAGAAAGTAAATGCAGGTGCTCAAGTTCAAATCCTAGGAGTAAAGTGGATTTTAACTTAGACTATTGGTCAACAGTTTTTTTACTAAGTAACTTTTAGCATTTTGACCAATTAAAAATACTAAATGTTATTTTTTCCTAGCTTTTTAAGTAACTTTTAGCATTTTGACCAATTAAAAATGCTAAAATACTAATTTTTGATAGGGTTTTGTAACTGTGTTTGAATTTAGATGCTAAGATAGCATTTTATAAAAAGTTAACTCATTCCTAGCTTTTTAAGTAACTTTTAGCATTTTGACCAATTAAAAATGCTAAAATACTAATTTTTGATAGGGTTTTGTAACTGTGTTTGAATTTAGATGCTAAGATAGCATTTTATAAAAAGTTAACTCATTTAACATTTAGTTTTTAACGTTATATAAAAAAACATTCAAACAATCTACAGCTAAATATTACTAAAATAGTTAACGGCTACTAAAACAACTACTCTTATTGAATAGACCCCTCGTCTTAATCTTAAAAGGTGCTAAAATTGACTACTAAAAGTATTAAAATTATCTTAATCTTTTATAATTCTCACCTCTTGAAGCAGCAAGGCTAGGAGTTTCTTGTTGAAGACCAAAGTCTGTAGAGGCAGACCCATTAACTGCATGTCTGAGATTCCCTTCAGAAACTGGTGAGGCACTTGAGCTCCACACGAACATATGGAGCTCCTTGTTGTTGCTGTTGTTAGGCGTCACTACTGAACCACCATTAGTTTCCTTCTTCCTTGGTCCAGTACTACCAGTAGAACCTGAAAACATGGGATTGGGAAGTGGGTATGCAGAATAGCCATTAAATAACTCACCACTCATGCTTCTCGCTCCTCTAGTTTTCTTGCCATTATTAACCTTGAGCATTTCCTCATCGAAATTTGAAGTTCTAGGAGTGGCTCCTTTTGAAGATTGCAAAGAAAAAATATCTCCTTGAAAACTATTTGTGTATCCATGTTTTGGACTTGCAACCTTGCTTGACAACATAGCATAAAAATCTGTCTGGTTAAAACTTGAAGCTCTTGGCGTTGGCTCTCGAGAAGATTGTACTGAATAGATCTCAACACCGGTTAGGTTGGAAGCTCTTGGTGTCATGGTTGATAGTCCATGCGACTTGTTAAAGGAGGAAACCATTGAAGATGCAGAAGATCTTCTAACAACGACATGAAGTTTACCATCATCCCCGATCTCAGCATCGGCTTGTAATGGTTCTCTACCATTAAGTGAAACAACATCAGAATCAACTTTGAAGGAGGTAATAGATCCAGCTGTCTCAGGGAATTGGTCAGAAATTAGTAACTTGGCTCCTCTGTATTCAAACATGAAGAGCATAAGAGTATACCAAATTACACTTTGCAACACTACAATTTGAACCATAAGACTTCCAGAGAAATCTCCATACATGGCTTTCAAGAGAGGAATACCCATGACCAGAGTGTTTGGGAGGGTAGAAAGAGAGAAGAGAGTGATCATCCATTCAAGACTTCCATTTTTGCTAAAAGCTTGCCAGAGAAAAAGAGCAGCAAGGATCACTACTTTTTGGAGAGAATCGGCTGCAATGAACCGATAGTTCATGGCATATGGGTCGTTTGATGAGATGAAATGGAAAGAGAGTAGTGGAACTGCGAACACTGCCACGAAACGGTTAATACCGGAGCATTGGTCCGGCGTGAAGATTTTCCACCACCGAACTGATCCATAGGCTAGTATCATAGCAACATATAGAGGCACAATAGCAGCAATAACATCGTAAACATCTTTTCCGTTGATCATGGCTAGTTACTGCCTATCAACGAAGAAGGGGAAGAACTGTGCGAAAGATGAGAGAGAAAAAGAAAGGTTTGCACTTGTTTCTGGACAGGGAAATTAAGCACTTGATAATTTGTTTCTCTGGTAAAATATGTTTTGGATTAATATTTTAACTCCTTCCAAATATTCGGTAAAATCGTTGATTCATGCATGAGATCTAGTTTCATTAAATTATTTCCTTTTGAACATTTTATTAAATTATTCGGTTATTTCATCAAAAAGTATTATTTTTATTTATGTCAAATTATAATATATACTCCATGTTTTTAAAACCATACTGACTAGTTGAGTGGATATTATGACTAAATCGTGGTTGGACCGGATCAATTCAGTTTAACTGAATATTTTTACTTTTTTATTATATAAGATTAAGACTCAATCTGCTCCTTGAACTTAGACACCATATACAATTTGTCTAAAAAACTTTTTTATACAATTTGCCCCTTAAGCTTGCACCAAAATCAAATGCCCAATTTTTTTAGAAAAAAAAATTTTTATATTTTTTTAACTAATAAAAAATTACTTAAAAATTTAAATTTTAAAAATAAAAATTATTTTAAAATATAATAATAAATAAAATTACTTAAAAATTTAAAATTTTAAAAAATAAAAATTATTTAAAATATATATAATAATTATAAATATTTAACAGTATTTGAATTTTAAAATATAATAAGAAATTATTGATTTGTAAAAATTATTTTAAAATATAATAATAATTATAAATATTTACAGTATTTGATTTTAAAATAATATAAGAAATATTTGATTTGTAAAAAATTATAGAATTAGAAAAGATTTGATTATATTGAGATATTTGGTTAGAAAAATATTTATTACTTTCTTGTTTGATTATTTTTTAATTGTATTTGATTTAGATTAAATATTTAATTACTTTTTTAATCATATTTGATTTATATCAAATAGTTTAGTTTTTCGGATAAAAATTAGACTCTTTGTGCTTTTGGTAAAAGTTTAAGGGATAATTTGTACAAAAAATTAATTTTTGGGTAAATTGTATATTGTACCTAAGTTCAGGGGACAAATTGAGTTTTTTTCCTATAATTTATAATTCGAAAATAATCATAAAAATTTTTGCAACAAATGTATAATTACATTTCAAACCATCTATATAATAAAATTAGTTGGAATAATATTTCACAATTATAATTATATTTCACAATTCTAAAACCTTAATTTACTTAGATGGAATTATTTTTTTTTTTCATTTAAAGAAAATTATTTTTTATATTATTTATTAATATTGATGGAATGAAATTAATAACATTAGTAATATTTCATGGTAAAGTGGGAGTAGTAGTAAAGAAACTAATAATGATAATCTATTAATTGAATGGACTATTAATTGGATAGTAATTTTAATTTAGTCAATTTATTTTTATTGTATTGATGAATTTCAATTAAATTTAGATGTAAAATAAAAAATTATTATGGGATAGCAAAATAATAACAAAATTTCCCCTAAATAACAACATTTAATAAATTATTAAAATTCATAAGATTTATCTGAGGACAATAGTCGAAATAAATACCAATATTGGATAACTAAAAATAAATAGAGAAAAAGAGAGTATAAATAGCAAGCGGAAAATGAATTCTACAACATACTTACCTAGTCGAAGTTGTTGAGTGATCATGAAGGTCGTATATCACACTTATCTGGGTTTTGGTTTAAGGTCTTTCCAAGAATGAGAATCTAGACCCCTTCTTAAATTTAGACCAGTTTGGATTAGTTTTTTCAGTTTGCATGGATAAACTAGATTTTTTTTTTTTGGTTTAGGTCTTGATTTGTAATGAAGTTCAAAAAAATAGCCTTTTGTGGACGGATTAAAAGATATATAAACTTATCAAATTGGTTCGTTTTGCATTCTATTTCATTCGAATTAGTTTTATCCTGAAAATTCAATTTAATTTATTTACTTTGGTTTGACTTTGGTTCCTAAATTTTTTACTGAAAACAATTGTACATGCATATACTAGTAATTTGAAGTGTTCATAATATTATAATTTATAACAAAAAATTGATAAAAAAAATCATACATATATAAATTAAATTACATTTATTTCAATAAGTAAAAATTAACAGGTACAAACAACTTATAATGCATATTCGAGAAAACTAATATGTATAAATATAAGTATGAGAATGAGGAGAGAATATTGGAATTTTCTAAAATTTTCTTATTAAAATTTTATGTATCTTACAATATTTTTAAGAGGGTGTGCTGGATTAGGATTGTGTTAGATTTTAAAAGATTATTGAGTTTGATGAAATTGAAAGATTTTCTAAGATTTGCACAGATTCTACTAGAATTCTACATAGAATTTTATGGAATTGGTGGAACTTTTTTTTTTTAATTTTGATTAACTTTGATAGAATCACAATGATTTTACATATCTAATCAAAATTAATTTTAAGATCTAATTGAACAAAATAAAAGGTTTTAGAGCGAAATGAAAAACTGAAAAACAATGAGGGACTAAAAAGCAAAATGTGTCATCTTCTCCAAAATCATTATTTTTTTCGTTAAAAACTTATCGCCACCGACTGTGAAAGGCCTGTAATGGCCAGCATCACCGACGGCCATCCTGCTCCAGTTAACTGCTATATTGAACTGGTTCAGTAGTGGACACCCTATGCATTATTAGTAAAAAATGTAAAAAATGTATTTAAATAAGTTCGAAATTTAGACAGTAAGATTCGTAGGTATCCTACCTGTTTAAGAAGTACTTTCAACGAGTTTTTTGATAGATACAAGTAGTTAATATTTAAACGAGTTTAAATACGGATAGTTGAATAAGTATTTAAACGGGTTTAGAATGGATACGGATAATAAAATTTTAAATGGATACCTATATAGGTAGTTTAAAATTCACGGGTATCCGCTCCAATTTCATTCTAATAAGGGGTGTATTAGATCAAGAGTATGTTAGATTTTAAAAGATTTTTAAAATACTTGGGTTGGAGGATGGATTTGTGAATGACTCTTTTATTTATACATAACACTTTAAAATCTAACGAAATCAATAATTTTATGAAATCTTTCCAAATCCGTAATTTTTTGAATACAGTCAAATTTATATGGATTTTTAAAAAGCATAATTGAATACTATCAGATTTTTATTGATTTTATAAGAGTCTAAATTGAATACTATAAAATTTTAATAGACTCTAAAAGAATCTAGATTGAATACCATTGAAATTTAAAATTTAACAGACTCTTAATCCAATATACTTTCCTTAATTATAATCAATTAAAAGATTTTAATTTTAAAATATAAATAATATTTTAACTAATTATATCGTTTGATGTTTGATTTATTTAAAAAAATAAATTAATATGATTGTCTATTTTAATTAATTTAATTAATATGAATTTGTTGATTAAGTTAAAAAAATAATTAATATGATTGTTATTTTTAATTAATTTAAATTAATATGAATTTATTTTTAATATAATTATCTATTTTAATTATTTAATTTAATCAATATGATTTATGCAAACAAATCAAATGAATATGATTATCCATTTTAATTAATTAATTTAATCATTATTATTTATGTAAAAAAATAAAATTAATATGATTATCCATTTTAAATCAATTTATTTATTTAATGTGATTTACTTAAAATAATTAAAATAATATAATTATTCATTTTAGTTAATTAATTTTATCTAACCAAATGGAGATGAAACAAATCGGTTAATGTTTTACTACAATATTATAGATAAGCCAAATCAGTTTGGATCCGACATGACAAGGACAATGACAAAGAAAGAAGTATTTTTAATGTATAACTTGTTTTGAAACAAAGACAGAAAGGATTCTCCATATAGTTCCAAGAAAAGAAAACATGTGGAAGATTTATAGCCAAAAGAATAAAAATTACTACCTCCACTTTCCTTTGTTTTCTGTCTCACAATATAGTCCGACAGTTGTTTTGTATAACTTTTAATTTCTTAATATACCCCTGCGTTCATATCATATCCCAATTATATATACATTATATAATATTATAAAGAGATATTTTTGCAAAAAACTAAATAAAAAATATAATTTAACTATATTAATTAATTTTTCTTAATTTATGTGAAAATCAAACTCCATCCATTTTACTTTAATAGCGACGCTTCTATTTTTTCACAAAAATTAAAAAAATAATTGAAACACATTGATTTTTTAAAAATATATAATAGAATGCTTAAAGTGCTATTCTTTTACTGCAAAATCAAGATTAATTTTATCTCATATTAAAGCACCATCATTAAAGCACATAGTACTATTTAGTCTTTTTGGGACGGGGAAGTATTATTTAGTCTTTTTTTTTTCAAAATACCCGATATTAATATTTTTTTAAGAAAATAGATATTATAATACCTCTATTAATATTAAATAATATGTACATAATTAGAAATATAGATGCACATTAAATAGAAGTATATTGAGAAATTAAACAATAAATGATTTTTAAAAAAAGAGAAACATGACTAATTTTGAGATAAAAAAGACATATGTATATATATATGGACGGAGAGAGTATACTTTACATTAATTGGTGTAATTTTTTATAATTTATCTATATTTTTTCTTCATTTTAGAATCATTTGAATTTTATGAGTTGGAATATTTTATGAGTTGAATATATATATATATATGATATATATATTGTTTATTTTTTAATATATAATATACTATAAATATTTTCTTAAAAATTTTTTTCGCATATTTTAATTTTCCTCTCAGTTTAAATTTTTTTTTTTTTTTTGTTGAGGATCCTGTGGGTTAATACTTGATTATGCCTTATATTGTGTATACATGAATAAATATTTATTTATTTTTTTATTTTTGGAAATGATCAATATTTATTGCTTAAACCTTGCTATTCGCCGCTCTACTCGTTCATGCACGTGAGTTGGACAATTATGAGTGATCCGCGGCAGCGGCAGATATCTTTCCAATGCATAAGATAAGGGCATGCTTTCCCACGAGCTGTATTTCAACGTCTCTTTGTAGGGTAATTAGGTAAATCACTACCCTTAATAGGGGTAACATTCGA